CCATCACCCGTCCTGCCAAAAACAAACTGGGGCACCCGGCCTTCTTGTGGCCCCGCTGGTTGTAGTGGAAACATATCAAGTCTGATCCATTTGCGGTGGTAGCAGTACAATCCCTGCTAAAATGACTAGTCCATCCGCACTTGAAGCAACCCGAATCTCCGCCACTACCACTCCTGCACGCACCCTTGTGCGTCCTGCCGCACCTTCCGCATCGGCCGCGACTCTGGTAATCCGTCGGTCTCGAATCCGACCCCTTGGGCCTTTTGCCCGAGCCTGCGGCTGCATGAACCTCATCCAGCTTCCTCTTCCGGATCTGCTCCAAATCAATCTCTCTCTCTAGCTCGCGCGATCATATCCTCCAACGTTTTGCAGCTGGACCTGCTCACAAACTGCCTGATGTCATACCTCAACATCTCATGGTATCCGACATTCTTCATCTCCTCATCCGTGACATACTGCGGTACAAGAAGAGCCCTCTCCCTGAACTTGGCGGTGATCTCCGCCACAGTCTCAGTGGTCTGCATCAAATCCTGAAACTCCCATGCCAACTGCTGCACCTCAATAATCGACGAAAAGTCCGCCCTGAACCTGGCCGAGAAATCGCTCCAAGTCATCGCGTCCAACGCGACATCATCACCAATGGCATGACCAATCTCCTCCCACCAATCCCTCGCTTTGTCCTTCAGGAGACAGGAAGCGAGCCTGACCTTTTCCCCCTCGGCGCACCGGATCGTACGAAATGCATTGGCAACATCAGCCAACCATCTGTTGCTAGTGATGGGGTCCCTAGCCCCATTATAATATGGTGCCCTGCAAGCCCTGAACTCACGAAATATCAAAGTACGTGCTCCCATCAATGCCATCATCTCGGCATGGAAGGCTCCCAACCTCTCATCCAAGATCTCCAGTATACCCTCCTTGACCGTGCCAAAGATCACAGGAGTCTGGTCTAGTATGTTGCGCATAACCTCAACTGATATCAACTCCCTTATTCTCTCCTCAAGCTTCTCGGCTCCTGAACCCGAGCCTGATCCCTCTTCGGCGCCTAATCCGCCCACTGGTCTCTCTCGCAACGTCACCATGCTGAAAATATAACACAACCACTATCAGAATACTTATCACTGCTGCAAGACCAAACACACGCTCTACCAGGTTCCCGTTCTCATCTCGGCCTTTCCCGAATCGAGTACGGATCCTCTGCTTTCAGTAGTACGGGACCATACTACCTTCCACATCTATCTGTACTTTCCTCAAGAACTGCTTCGACTCTACCAGGGCCCTTTTCCACTACTACTGCTCCCAGCACTACCTCATCCTAGGCTTGCCCTAGGGAAACCTCTGACTCAACTCAAACCAGTCCTCAACTGCTGAAGGCCTCCTTGTGATGCTAATTAGCCATCAGCTGAATACCATCACATGTGACGAGGCTCAGATAATCCTTCAAGTAAAAGACGCATCCCTACAACGGTTGGACTCAGACAAGAGCTGCACAATAGGGCCAAATCCAGTACTCTGAGATTATTCAACCCTGATCACATGTGACGTGACGTATTCACCTAATGGCTAACTCCCATCACTCAGAATCCCAAAATTCACAAAGCAAGCAACATTCAGACAAGGGGAAAATCTAACCATAACATACTCAAGCAATCATATCCACATAGTAACAATCTGTACTGGCATGCAACACAAACTCATAAAATCAAGCATAACCTAAACAAGCTATCCTATTACTGTCTAAGCAATACTATCATGTAGCTCAAAAGCACATATAATAGGCACATAAGGCATCCTCCCTAGATCCTTAGTCCTAATCTAGCATGTTGTTCTACTAACTGATAATCATAACATAAACTTGTATAGGTATTTTTGGGTACTTACTTGAGCTCGGTTGATTGCATGCACCACACCCTTTTTCTCCTTTCTAAATTCTTTTCTTTCTGTGTTCTTTTGCTTTTCTAAAACTATTTTCTTTCTCAAACTCTTGTTACAAAACTGGCTTTTTATTTTGAAAACTTCCATACCACTTCCTTAATTTGAGTTCAGACACACCCGAGAGTACGTCCGAATCCCTCAAACTAAGGCTCTGATACCAACTTGTAACGTCCCAAAATTCAAGACTAAAAATTTCTTTTATAAAACATTACTTAAAACATAATTATCAATTCATAACATAATCAGAGTATGATTTCCAAAACATATTTTCATTATCAGAGTAAAACATTCTCAGGCTGTCTAATCTATGGTGTGTGCCATGCGATCACCCCGAGCTCTTCCCTCCGCTACCGGAAGTACCTGAAACCAAAATTGAAAATCGTAAGCACGAAGCTTAGTGAGTTCCCCAACCTACCACATACCATGCATAACCACATACTGCACATACTGGGCCACACCCGCTATTCTGGGCCTCGCCCGCTACAGCGGCCCTGCCGCTCCAAGCCTCGCTTGGCTTCGAGCCCCGCTCAGATACAGATATATTTCACTTAGGCCTCGCCTGTCACTGGGCCTCACCCACTAACATATAATAGCACATAAATATATCGCAACACATAAACTAAACATATACTAATGGATCATATCCTAAGGCCTCGTCTATCCTGGGCCTCGCCCTTGTCCTGCTACTGATGAGTCATGGAACCCCATCCACGCCCCTAATGGTGGTGAGATACGGGCCCAGCCCACACTCACTCTTTCCCTAACTTGGGCCTCGCCCCTACTCTGCTGCTAATAAGATGTGGAACACTGTCCATACACTGCTATTGGTGAGATACGGGACCTCGCCCACCCTCACCTCCCTACCAGGCACATACATGTATCACACAGACAACAAGTATAAAATATCACATAAACCACTCCTTGGGCACCCGCCCATTATCATTGGACCTCGTCTTGAATATCATACTAGCATATTGTGCCTAGGGCTAACCCCCGGTCTTCTACTCATAACTACATGGGTCGGTATTGTGGCCTTAGACCTATTCATACAAAGGGAAATTCACCTGATCTTGCTGAACTTGCTGATAACCCCTCTAGCTGCTGCCCGACAACTCTTTAAACTCCTGCTCCACTAGCTCTCTGAGCTACCAATATCAATGCAACACTTAGTTTAACTGTCCTCCAAAAGTCAACTAAGTCAAATCTGGTCAAAGTCAAGTCCTAGTCAAGGTCAACCTTCCAGGTCAACCTCACTTGCTGAGTCTGCCTACTGACTCGCCGAGTTCATATGCTCAGAGTCCTTCCATTCGTGACTCGACTCGCCGAGTCAGTCCATGACTCGCCAAGTCCACCGATTTCCGAGTCCTGTCCTGTCCAACTCACTGAGTCTCCACTCAACTCACTGATTCGAGTCTCAACTTGAAGGGTTCGAGGTTCCGCTACTTAACTCGCCGAGTCCAAGGCAATCTTCAACTGACTCGCCGAGTTGTTCTTCCAACTCGTCGAGTTCCTGCCCAACTTCAACCAACTCGTCGAGTCCACCCATGTGACTCGCCGAGTCGCTCCAGTTCTTAATCTATACAGTGGCTTTTCGAGCCATGCAGGGGCTCCAAATCATAGATCCATACTTCCAAGGCTCAATCCTCACGTAAAGTTGCAAACTTTACGTATAACAAAAGAGATCTAGGCTCAAAACACACTAGGGTTAGGTTTTAGGACAAAAGAGCTTCACCAACTACTCAATATCTGATGCTTTATGACATATTGGACCATCCCAACCCTAGATATGAAGTGGCAACTACATATCTAAGCCCCAAGCCCGAATTGGGTCTCACACAACCATAAAACCCCCAAATCTCATAACAAAAAATAGATCTAGATGCAAAGGAGGGAAGATAGCAGCTTATTACCTCCAAGATGAACACTAACTGAAGTAGATATTGGATCTACACCTCTCCTTTGAAGCAACCTTCTTGATCTTCAAGTTCCTTTCCAAAGTTTCCTTCCTCCAAAGCTATTTCTCTCAAATGATGGAAGCTCACACGAAATCTAGGGTTTATAGGTTCTCTAGAATGATATGGAGGCTAAGGAAGGGACATAACTCCCTTTATATAGGATACAACTCCCGGGATTAGGGTTTTCCTTGTTCAGACTAGACTCGCCAAGTCTCATTAGCCGACTCACCGAGTCCGTCACTTACTCCTTGGCCCGGATCCCGCTCGGACTCGCCGAGTTCCTCCTTGGACTCGACGAGTCGGCCCTTTAACTTAAGGTTTCCTTTCCTTTCTTGGCCTTCCTAATTTTTGGTGTTACACATCGATTCCACCCTCTTGAGTTGAGCTCCACCTGTCTCCTTTCCTCCTCCTTTCTCTCCAGCCATGATCCCAAGTTATGCTCTGATACAAATTTGTAATGGATTATAAGAATAACAAGAAATGCATTAGCAAAAGAAACTTTTGATGAACAACAATGGCAATAGAACAGGATAGTAGTAGCAATTTGAGAGGCTACGGTCTCCAATAGAAGAAACTTCTAAGAATAAAATCCAATACTAAACTCAGATTGTTCCCTCCTATAAAAAGGCAAGAATGATAGCTACTGCCCTGAATTCATACCTGCTGGACAGGTTAGTGGATCTTCCTTCATGGGGAATCTTTTTCTTGTTATTCCTTCTCTTGTACGTGAATTTGAGTGGTGGGGGCACAACAGATGTTGCTTAATAATAACTAGGGACAAAATTAGATCAAAATAAATAATTTATTTATTAATACTGATGTTATTCTTTTGTTAGAAAAAGATTCTTTTTTTCTTTTTAATTTTTTTTATATAATAGTGGGTTTTATGAAAATTTTAAGAAATACGTATGGTTTTTATGAAAGAAAAATAAAAAATGGTTCCAAACTCTAAAATAATGACAGTGTGTCGGTGTTATCCTATTTAAAAGCCCTTCTCCCTTTTATTATATTTCACCTTTTACTTTTTACAGCATACAACGAATTCCAAGCCGCGCTTATTTTTTTTACAGCAAACGACGAAATCCACGAAAACGAAAACTTCATTGATCAATGATGGCAGGAAAACTCATAGTTTTCTTGTTCCATCTCGCAGTCGCACTTTCACTAACTTCACACTCATCATCCCTCAACTTTACTGTCGACGACCCGATTGATTCTGATGTTTTGGGGGCCATATTAGTATTGCGAATTTTCTTGATTTTTTCTTACCTTTTTGTTTTTTTCTTTGAACAGGGAGTTGAAGACTTACTTCATGGATCGATGATGGTAGGAAAATTCATTGCTTTCTTGTTCCTCGCACTTGCACTGACTTCACACTTATCATTCAACAACTTTAGTGTCGACGTTACTATTGATTCTAGTGTTCTTGGAGCAATATTAGTATTGCAAATTTTCTTGATTTTTTCTTACTTTTTTGTTTTTTTCTTTGAACAGGGAGTTGAAGACTTACTTCATGGATCGATAATGGCAGGAAAATTCATAATTTTCTTGTTCCTTCTCGCAGTCGCACTTCTACCGACTTCACTCTCATCATTCGACAACTTTAGTGTCGACGTTACTATTGATTCTGGTGTTCTTGGGGCGATATTAGTATTGCGAATTTTCTTTATTTTTTCTTACCCTTTTGTTTTTTTCTTTGAACAGGGAGTTGAAGACTTACTTCATGGATCGATGATGGTAGGAAAATTCATTGTTTTCTTGTTCCTCGCACTTGCACCGACTTCACACTTATCATTCCACAACTTTAGTGTCGACGTTACTATTGATTCTAGTGTTCTTGGGGCAATATTAGTATTGCGAATTTTCTTGATTTTTTCTTACTTTTTTGTTTTTTTCTTTGAACAGGGAGTTGAAGACTTACTTCGTGGATCAATAATGGCAGGAAAATTCATAATTTTCTTGTTCCTTCTCAGAGTCGAACTTCTACTGACTTCACACTCATCATTCTACAACTTTAGTGTCGACGTTACTATTGATTCTGGTGTTCTTGGGGCGATATTAGTATTGCGAATTTTCTTTATTTTTTCTTAGTTTTTTGTTTTTTTCTTTGAATAGGGAGTTGAAGATTTGTATGACAAGTTGTAAGTTGCCCAAGCGACTTCAAGACATGTATGATGAGGATGATTTCAAAAAGGATATTGATATTTCAGATTGTGACTATTCTTTACCAACACAGCAACAAACTTTTAATGGTGTCTTTAGCGAGGTAAGTAAATTGAATATATGTATGTATGTTTTTTCACACACATCCATTACTTTCTTAATTGTTCCTAACAGGAATGAGAATATGGTTTAGCAAGAAAACATCGTCTTGAAATTAGGGTGTTACAAAGTACAAATCAACATTGTTCACGCCATTTTTATATTTAATGATAGGTTGATAAAGGTGAGGAAACTGCTGCACCTATATCCAAACATCCCAACCAATCCCTCCTTCATGTATAACCAAACAATGCCACAAGGATTCTGAGTTGCCCAAGCATCTCCATGATGAGATGATGTTTGATTTTCTTTACTCTGTAAGTATAGCTATTTTTCAGACTCAATCTTTTTAAAACATGTATTTATTTTGTTACTCTTAAGTCGAGTTTCGAAAACTTTAATGTTTCTAACTATTGCATTGTACTTTGGAGATTGACTTTCCTGTTGTTTTTCAAATTCTTGCTATAACATCAAACTATTTCTTCTTAAAATATAAATATGGGTTTATGTGATTATTTACATTTTAATTTTAAAGAATTGGTATCTGAATTGAACTAGTTATATAATAATATTTTGCAATGGTGTTTTTGGATAAAAAAAAAAAGGAATTAGCTAGTGGAACTGCGATTTATTCAATTGGATACAATGAATAAGAGAAATGTACTTTGTTACTTGTTTCCTCTGTCTATATATTACCATTTCTGATTAAATCTCGGTTATAGCAGTGGACTTTGTTATTTCTGTTTTTATAACAGATTTGTTAAGGCGTTTTGTTATCTCTATTGGCAAAAGGGTTGTTGAAAGGCGTGATTTTAATGGAGTTTTTCATGGTTATTGCAATATAATTCATGGTTATTGAAATTGGACGGAATATATATATAACCCATTTCTAACCTTTTTTTTCAGCCAAAAAATAAAGATTTCTTGGTTCTTGATGAACTGGATATCTCCCAGTCCCAAGCGATTGATGATGGCAAGCGAGTTCATGGTAGGATGTTGTTACCTTTTCTGACCTTCAATCTACAGAGAACCCAATCCCAATGGTGGAGGAGTATGGTCTGCTTTCCAAGAACAGAAAGTTGGACGGATTTTTGGGACGGGAATGTAATTCTGCTTCATCAACAATAGATCATAAGTCTAGTGGTGAACAGCAGTTAGCAATGGAGAATGTAAAATCAAACCAATCAAAAGCTGCAAGGGCAAATTCTCATGATGAATGTGCAAAAGATGAGATGATGAACATAAATGAGAACTCAAAAAATGAGGATGTTTAACACAACCACCCTAAGGTTTTCCTAAGTGATGTTGCTGCTGTTTTCTCAGAGGTAAAGTATATCACCCAAAACTTGCATTTCAAAAGTTATACATACTCATGATATGTAGGATGTGTACTTGGTTGAAACATTAAATCGATTCCTTTTAGTTTTTTTTAACAAACACTTAAGCATGCAATGCACTGAGTTTCACATCATAATCTAAATCTACCTTTTGACCCCAAGTTTACAAACCAAATTTGCATTCCAACCATCACGAATGTAACTAGAAACCCATTCCATTGAGATGTTACTTGAAATTGGACAGAATATATGTATATAACCCATTTCTAAATAACAGTATATGACATACCAAATATGGATGGATATATCTAAAGAGTTTACAGGCATCCCTTATGTTAAACATCATCACTAGCCCAATAGAACAAATATTATCTAGAAGACTTAGCTTGTTCTAGAATGCTCTAGAAGATTCTAGAACATTACGGAAGACTATGGAAGACTCCAGAATATACCGTAAGAGTCTAGAATACTCTAAAATGACATGGAAGACCCTGGAAGGTTATGGATCATTTTAGAAGACACCGAAGCAACCTAGACCTCTCCATAACATGGTAGAACATTCTAGAAACATATGGAAGGTTATAGAGTATGTTAGATAGTTCTAGAGTTATCTAGTAAGTAGTTAGTATATATACTAGTATCTAGAACTTTCCTAAGAGGCCTATAATAGGTGTGGAGTAGTCTCTCAAAGTGTAAATTCTTCTTAAGTGTCGTAATAAAAGTATTGTTGTTTCCCACATAAAGAGTCGTGTTCAATACCATACATATCTAATACCATGTAATATGCTTTTCTTTTCTCCTTAGGGTAACATACTTGCAAAACCAACACAAAACATTCCATTTTCACACATCCCTGATCTCAATACATGTAGTACTTTCTGAATTGTTCATAACAAGAATTGGGGAGGTTTAGCAAGAAAAAAACAATTTTATTTTATCAAAATTAGGGAAATCTACATTATTCATGCCATATCTATCTTTTCTGATAGGTTGATATTCAGGATGAAAATGTTGGTGGAACTGTCTCCCTTGCTTCATGTTTATCCAAACAAGGAGACAAGGATTTTGCTACGTGGCCACGGGACCCACATAGGAATGTTGAATACCAAATCTCCATCTCCCAGTTCCAATCAAATGACATTATTCAGAGGCGAGTTGATGATGACATGCTGGTTGGTTTTCTAAAAAGGAAAAATTCATTGCATGAGCATGAGCTTCAAGCTATTGAGGTACGAATGTTCTAGTTATGTCAAGTGCATCTTTTGATACCATTTCCTTTGCTTTATTTAACTTCTTTCTACTAAATTTTCTTATACATTATTCTTCACAACCAACATTTACTGAAGTGGAACACGAATAATCCGGACCTAGTTGGATCAAAAGTGCAGCTTCACAATCTGATCAAACACGCATTGTTGATTTATTTTTCTGGTCTTGCCAAAACGCTGATGGTGGAGTAGAGTTTGAAACTTTGGAATTGCTAATCGACTGCAAATCTGCTAGAGGTTCAAGTCAACAAACTAGCAGGATAAACAAGTCCTTAGAACTGGGCATCTCTGCTTCTTACAATCCAAAAGAAGGTATTGGTGTACTTTGTTATTCTATTTGGTGATTTGAAGCATGTTGAAGCTTGTAGGTGTATAGTGATAGATTTAGTTTTAGTGATACACAAACACAAGTGTTATTTGCAGCAATAAAGATGGAAAAAAGAAGCCATTAATTTCCTATGATATTGATGCTTCTCAAGTTACAAGGGCCAGGTCTTGGGGTTCTATGAAAGAATGTCCACTTGGTGCTACTGCTAACCACAAAGAAGACGGTGAAATTGTTGCAATGAATTTTATTTAATTGCTAGGGTTTATAGTTTATTTTTATGAAATATGAGAGATGATAGTTATTTTTGGTTAATTTTTTTAAAGTCTACTTGATCATTTATTTATACTCTAGTAATGGGTTGTGGATTTGGTTGCAGGAATGGAAGTCAATGGGAAGGATGATGATTTGAAGACACCACTTCTAAATCCCTCTGATGTTGTTGCAATTGATAGTAAATCAATCCATAGTGTCAATCAAGGGATTAAAACCATTACATTCAAAATAGGTGGAATAGAATATGCATCATGTTCATCATCCAATGAGTCTTTACTTGTGGATCTCAATGGTGTGTCACCACTTCAAGGCCAGGGTGTAGTTTCAGAACATGTTGATGTAAGCTCCCATTGTTACCTCTTTTGTGTTTCTTGTCATATTTTAGAGAAAAAAAAGACATTTTTTAGCAAAGTATAATGATTTCGTGTTTTTAGGTAGAAGCAATCAAAGAAACTATTGAAGATGCAGGCTTTGAAGTCAAAGAATTTTCAAACTTTGAAGTAAATTCTAAAAAGATGTTGGATCCTGTCACCATGTGCCCTAGGGAATCAGATGGTTTAGCCTTAAACCAATCTTCTGAGTGTTGTATTCTTGTTAAACCTAAGCAACTGAAGTTTCATGAAACGGATGGATGCAATTCAAATAAAGGTAGTAGTCTGCTTTCCAGGATTAGAGAACTGTTGGGCAGTCCCTCAATGAATATGGATTATGCTTCATTAAAAGATGATAAAACCAGTGAGCAGCAGTTGAAGTCTGCAATGATACGTTCTCATGAGGATTTTGATGTGTGTACAAGTACAGAGACGATGAATATCGATTTGGACTTGGATCTGAATCCATTGATGGAGGAGAGTCTACTTCCCAAGAATAGAAAACTCGATGGATTTTTAGGACAGGAATGTAATTCTGCTTCAACAATAGTAGATCATAAATCCAGTGAGAAGCAATTACCAATGGAGAATGTAGAATCAAATAAATCGAAAGTTGCAATGACACGTTCTCAAGACAACTTTGATGAGTGTGCAAAAGACGAGATGATGGACATGGATGAGTACAGAATGGTGGAGGATGTTGAGCACAACCCTTAGGTTTCCCTGCATGATGATGCTGCTATTTACTGTGAGGTAAGTGTCACTTCTCAAAGACCCAAAACATGCAATTCAAAACTTATACATACTCATGATAAGTAGGATTTGCACTTGGTTTAAACATTAAGTCCATTCCCTTTAGCTTTTTTTTCTTCAACAAACAGTTTAGCATGCATTGAGAATCGATCCCTTCAATAGAATCACAATCCCCTATATATAGGGATAAATACAAATAATACAGCTACCGAATATGTAGATAAAATAGGAAAGGATATTTAACAATCCTAATTAAATATATACATATCCTATATCATATTATTCGGCTAATATTCCCCCGCAGTTTGAGCGGGAGGAGGTCGAACACTCAAACTGGATCTGAACTTCTGGTACAAGTAGCGTGGCAAGCCTTTGGTGAATATGTCGCCATACTGCATGGATGCAGGGATGTGCAGAACTCGAACTTGACCAATATGAACCTTCTCACGCACAAAGTGTATATCAATTTCCACATGTTTTGTGTGTTGGTGTTGAACTGGGTTCTGTGATAGATAGACTGCAGAAATGTTGTCACAATATACAACTGTCGCCTTTTGTAGCGGTACATGAAGCTCAACTAAGAGATTTTGAAGCCAAGTAGTCTCTGAAACGGCATTAGCAACCCCCCGATACTCAGCCTCAGCATTGGATCGGGAAATAGTAGGTTGTCGCTTAGATGACCATGAGACAAGGTTATTGCTTTATACCTGTCAAGCGATCCATTTGCTGGAGCGGGAAATAATAGGTTGTCTCGTGACAGTCAATTCCCACAGTTTGGGATTTCCCATTGACAACCAGTCTTGCTTTATACCTATCAAGCGATCCATTTGCTTTAAACTTATGGCGAAACAGCCACATACACCTGATAACGGGGTTGTCTGTTGGTCGAGGAACTAGTTCCCATGTTTCATTTGCCTGTAATGCGTTAAACTCATCTTCCATAGCTAGTAACCAATTTGGGTCAGACCGGGCTATAGAGACAAACTTAGGAATAGGTGAGATGGGTGATGTGGAAGTGGCGTGAAGATTTAGGCGGGTGACTGGTTTGGTATCCCCTGCCTTGGCACGGGTAGTCATCGGATGTGCAGAGGTGGGTAGGTCTGGTGGTGGTGCCATAGAAGGGTGGTCGGATTAAGGTGACGGGGGAAGCGATAGAAGGCTGGTGATCGACTTGTTCCGTGGTGCGGTGTTGGTCAGTGGAGACTGGTGGAGCGGTGGGTGGTACTTTTGACCGGCGAGAATATGTAAGTATGGGAGAGTTATGTGGTGGGGCGGTAGGAGGTGATGGTGGGGTTGAAGGCTGGTAAGTGTTTGATTTGGTAAGGGTTTGTAGGGTAGGAAACCGATGGAAATGATGGATCATCAAGGAAGTCATAGGATGGGGGGGATGAGTCGGCAAAGGGAAATGAGGTCTCATCGAAGGTAACGTGACGAGATAAATGGACTTTGCCGGTAGAAAGGTTATAGCAACGATATCCACGAAAATTATCCGGGTAGCCAAGGAAAACACATTTAATGGAGCAAGTTTGAAGCTTGTTCGATTGAGTAGCTGATGTGTTCGGATAGCACGTGCACCCGAAAGTGCGAAGATGATCGTAAGAGGGGTGGCAGCCAAAAAGGGCAAACGCAGGTGTAGAAAAATTGAGGCGTTTTATGGGAAGGATATTGTGGAGATATGAGGCGGTGTGAAGTGCTTCAACCCAGAAGGAGTGGGGAAGTGAGGCATGAGTGAGAAGGGTATGGATGATGTCATTAAGATGACGGATCATCCGTTCGGCCCGTCCATTTTGTTGAGACGTTTGCGGGCAAGAGAAACAAAAAACAAGACCGTGAGTTTGGGCAAAGGTTTTAAACTCATTATTGTCAAATTCACCACCAAGATCACATTGGAAAGATTTAATTTCCCGATTAAACTGAGTTTGGATTAATTTATAGAACTTTTTGAAATTGAGAAAGGTGTCAGATTTATATTTGAGAGGATAAACCCATACATAATTAGTGAAGTTATCAATAAGAACCATATAATATTTGTAACCTGTTTTGATCAATACAGGAGATGTCCAAAGATCACAATGGATAATATCAAATGGAGCAAAAGTGACTGATAGTAAATCAAAGAATGGCAACCGAGTATTTAGATAATTGGCAAGCATTACATAAAGATGAGTTCATAGTTTTATTGAAAGAAATGTAAAAATTTGAACGAAGCACATCTAAAACTTGGGCACTCGGATGACCCAACCTGGTGTGCCATCGGTCTTGAGAGGTAGCAAGAAGAGCAGATGAGCGTACGGGTGTTGTGAAAGGGTATAGATCGCCCGTGCTATCATGACGAGAAAGAAGTGCTCCAGTCTTGAGGTCCTTTACAGAGAAACCAGATGGGTCAAATTCAACCGAAGTTTGGTTATCTATGGTAAACTTGCGAACAGATAATAAATTTTTGATAATGGTAGGAATGAATAAAATATTTTTTAAGGCATAAGAACGAGATGGGGTGTGGTGCATGGTATGGCCTGACCCATGAATTGGTAGACTGGACCCGTTACCAACAAAAATGGAGTTTATAGGTGAAGTAGACATGGGATTGGAGATTTTACCTGGGTCTGGTGTAAGGTGTGTTGAGGCACCAGAGTCCATATACCAAGCTGGATCAGGTGAGTTGAGATTGACCTGTTGCATTGTCTGGGCTAAGTCAGAGGGGCGGTACTCTGAGTGACCAGGAAAAGATGGATTAAGGGCTGCCATGGAGGCTGAGAGAGACTATAACGGAGGCTGCCCATATGATCCCTGTTGATGTTGCCTTGGTGGTTGAGAAGGATTGTTGGTCCCAAACGTATGATTGGCCTAACCAAGTGGGTTTAATCGATGTGATGGGAATGGTGATGGTGGCGGGTTCCAGGTTTGTTGATTCTATTCGTTCCAAGGCTGTTGTCCGCGACCTCGACCCCTAAAATTCTAGCCACGACCCCAGCCGTTTACACCACGTCCACAAACATTTTATTGCTGTTGTCGAGCGCCCGGATAATTATGGTAGTTGGAGGCTTGACTGCGATTTCCTTGAGCCCCTGTGGAGTTTCCTGGATAGTTGTGGGATTGACTGCCATTCTATTGTGGCGGTCCGGGTGCAGCGAGGATAGTGTGTGTCTGGTTTTGCCGGGAATTTTGCCTATGTTGCTCTAATTGCAACATGCTACATGTTGTCTCCCATGAAAGAGAACTTTCATTAATGTATGCCCCTACATTTTGGTGGTAATCCCCAAACCATTTGCAGAACGAGCTTGGATTTTGGTCGTAATCCCCAAACCATTTGCAGAACGAGCCTGGATTCGGTGACCGAATTGTCAACATCTCCAAGTTGACCTACTAAATCTTTGAGTTTCTGGCAGTAGGCTTCCATTGATGAACATGCTCCAAGAGTGAGATTGGAGAATTCTTGTTCGAGAGCTGCATCACATGAACCTTTGTTGTTGAGAAAGTTAGACTTCAATTTATTCCAAGCAGCTTGAGTCGTGGTGTCATTCTCCAAGATTCGGACCATTAGTTCATCAGATAGGGTGCTATAGATCCATTGTAAGACCAGGGAATCGATCTCCACCCACTTCTTATAAGAAGGATCGGTCTCTGCTGGTGGAGGAGTGTCATCGATGTGATTAAGTACCTTGTAGGCTTTGGCATGGAGACGGAACAACTTAGTCCATAAGGAATAGGTAACTTTGGTGCCATCCAAGGTTTGAATCTTTGTCTGAACATTAGTTACAGTGTACGCAGGATGCAAGGTCGTGGCCTTTAACTCACCTGATCCAGAATCGTCTTTCGTCATGGAGAATAGAGATAGCAATGGAAGATTAACAAAATCGTAGCTTTGATTGATAGAGGTAGGCGTTGTATGATTTTAGGGTTTGTTGTTTACTTCTCTGATACATTAATAGAAGTTCTGGTCAAAGAATCGATCCCTTCAATAGAATCACAATCCCCTATATATAGGGATAAATACAAATAATACAGCTACCGAATATGTAGATAAAATAGGAAAGGATATTTAACAATCCTAATTAAATATATAAATATCCTATATCTATTTAATCGGCTAATAGGATTTGCACTTGGTTTAAACATTAAATCCATTCCCTTTAGCTTTTTTTCTTCAACAAACAGTTTAGCATGCATTGAGGTTTCTCATCATAATCTACCTTTTGATCCCAAATTTATAAACCATGTTTGCATTCCAATCATCAAGAATGTAACTAGAAATCCATTCCACTGAGATGTTACTTGAAATTGGACAGAATATATGTATATAACCCATTTCTAAATATCAGTATAAGATATACCAAACATGGATGGATATATCTAAAGAGTTTACACGCATCCAATAACAGGAGTAATATGCTTTTTTTTTCTAATTATGTTAAGTGAAGTTGTAATAGCATTTCCCTTCCTTTATTTAACATCTTTCTCCTGAATTTTCTTATGCATTATTCTACACAACCAACATTTACTGAAGTGGAAAGTGCAGCTTCTGAATCTGATCAAACAAGCAATGCTGATGTTGGCTTTACTATGGTTGACTCTAATGAAACTGTTACAGTAGTTTCCAAGTTTTCATCTACTCAACATCAAGATGAAGACTTTTATTATGAGGATATGGATATTTCAGCAAACGCTGATTATGATTCGGTAACCATAGCAGATTATTCTGATCCAACACAAAAGCAAATTGATGATTCGCTTCCTCCATTTAATTGGCAAACAAACCATTTTTGATCATCTCTTGTTGATTTGGGAAATCTCTGGGACAGGTCAACATCCACTTTAGAGAATCCGTTTGGGGATTTAACATCATTTGTTCCACATCCACAAAAACAAGCAGCTGCAGTTTGGCCAGGTAGTTAAAATTTTCTCTATTCCAAAGTTTGAATTACCAAAAAATGACATTGTGTGTGTGTGTTTGTTTTTGTCTTTGAAGGTAGGAGAGGAGACATTAAAGTGAAGGCGTTAGTTGCAGCTAAGGCTGCAAAGATACGCCAAGAAAAACAGGAGAATGAGAGGAACTGGAAGAAAGAAGCATTTCGGATGTAGATAGCGAGGCGCAAAAAAAAAGCCGAAAGAAGGGAAGGAAAAAAAAGCAGAAAGAAGGGAAGGAAAAAAAAGCAGGAGGAAATGGTTCCAAGAGGCGTTTCTCTGAAGATGGAACATCCAGAAAAAGAAAACCATGTAGTAAGTTATTCCATTAGCACTTAAGCTTGGTTTTTTTGCATTAAGTAAAAAAAAAACAGAATATGGTCATGAATTTAAAGTTTAGTCATTTCTTAGTTTTTTTATTTATTTATTTATTTTTTGTTATCGTTAATTGTTTATTCTTGGGAAGTGTTGGTGATTAATTTTCAGTTCAGTATGTGTTTGTTGATACAGGTTTGGATATGGATATGATTACCTTACACTTATAGTGGTCCATCTCCATCTGGTAAGCACCAAATTTGTTTATTAGCTCCCAATCAGATAAATTTTGTAAAGATTGTATCTTATTCACGTAATATTGATTACACTGGATGTATATATAAGATACATAATTACACTTTGTATCCTCCTATTATTATAGTATATACTGTCTAATATTCCCCCGCAAGCTAAGGACGTGTAACGAGCTGAAGCTTGGACCGTAAATCAGTAAATCGTTGAGACGGTAACGGCTTGGAAAAGATGTTTGCAATCTGATCATGTGTAGAGATAAATTGCACATTGAGTTTTCCATCAGCAACTTTTTCTCTAACAAAATGAAAATCAACTTCAACATGTTTTGTGGGCATGAAAGACAGGATTAGCTGATAAGTAAGTAGCACCCAAATTGTCACACCATAAAACCGGTACAGATGTCACAGAAACCTTAAGCTCCCGAAGAACCGATTCAAGCCAGGTGAGTTCAGCAACGGTATCGGCTAAAGCTTTATACTCAGATTCTGTTGATGACCTAGATACAATGCGTTGTTTTCTAGCAGACCAAGAAATATGATTGTTTCCAAGATAGATGACATATCCCTCGGTGGATCGACGGTCATCAGGACAACCACCCCAGTCCGTGTCCGAGTAGGCACTCAAAGATGAAAAATGAGTGTCAGTGTAAGCATGAAGAACAACATCAGATTTATGTTGAAGAAGAAGACCATAATCATAAGTGCCCTGAAGATATCTAAGTATGCATTTGACAGCAGACCAATGATTTTCAGTTGGGGAATGCATAAACTGGCAAACTTTGTTGACTGCAAAAGTAATATCTGGACGAGATAGAGTGACATACTATAAAGCACCAAAAACTTTTCGATAACGGACCGGATCATCAAATAAGGCACTGTCACCAAGTTTCAAATCAGCAGTGGTAGTGATAGGAGACGCTACTGGTTTGGAGTTAGAGAGATTTGTCTGTTGGAGCAATTCCATAATATATTTCTTTTCGGATAGAACCAGATCCTTTTGTTTGCGCACTACTTCAATTCCCAAAAAATAGGAAAGAGGACCCAAGTCTTTAATTGAAAATGTCTGACCAAGACTTTTGATGACATGATCAATGGCTTTGGAGTTGTTACCAGTGAGAACTATGTCGTCAACGTACACCAACATATAAAGAATGGTACCAGTAGACGCATAAACAAAGAGAGAAGGATCGGTGACTGATCCTTTGAAAGCAAGAGCTTGTAGGGCTTTGGTCAGACGATTATACCACGCATGGGGCGCCTGCTTAAGCCCATATAAGGATTTGTGGAGTAAACAAATATGATATGGTTTTGTTAGGTCGATGAAACCTGGTGGTTGTCGCAAATAAACTGTTTCTTTTAGTTCTCCATGCAAAAAGGCATTTTGAACATCCAATTGTCGTAATGTCCACCCCCGGGTAACAGCAAGAGATAGAACCGTACAAATTGTTGTAGATTTGACGACCAGACTAAAGGTCTCATGATAGTCTATACCCTGTTGTTGTTTGAATCCTTTGGCAACTAAACGTGCTTTATAGTGAGTGACCGCACCTGTTTGATCTCGTTTAAGCTTGTATACCCATTTACAATCAACGACATTTGCATTTGGAACGGGTGGTAAAAGAGACCACGTGAGACTACGCATGAGGGGGGAGTATTCATCTGCCATGGCAGCCCTCCAACTAGGTGACTTGTTGGCAACAGTGAAGGTAGTAGGTTCAATCTCGGAGAAGGCAGAAGTGGTAGTATAAGCTGAAGGATCATAAGGAACTCATGGTTTTGGGTTTTGTCGGAGGTTTGATGGGCGAGTACGAGTGCAAGATTGATCAGTGTGCACAGGGACATCAACAGGAAGCTGTTCGGAGTGAGATAGACCAACAGAAGGTTGTTCAGAAGGAGGCTGTCGGGGAGCGCTGGTCGGAACAGTCAGAGAGGGTTGTTTAGTAGGAAGTTGTTCAGAAACAGTATGATGGGTAGGAGTGGGAATACATTCAGAGTTAGTGGATAGGGTGGGGCTTGGATAACTCGAAACATAAGGATTAGAGGAAGACGGTGTATGTAACACCCAAAGTTTGGAAAGCCAAGAAAAGAAAGAAAACCCCAATTTTAAGGGGAGACTCGGCGAGTCCAAGGAGGGACTCGGCGAGTCCGAGCGGGATCCGGGTCGAGGAGTAAGCGACCGACTCGGCGAGTCGGCCAAGGTGACTCGGCGAGTCTGGTCTGAACGAGGAAAACCCTAATCCCAGGAGTTGTATCCTATTTAAAGAGTGTTATGTCCCACCCTCAGCCCCCATATCACCCTAGAGAACCTATACACCCTTGATTTCGTGTGAGCTTCCATCATTTGAGAGAAATAGCTTGGAGGAAGGAACTTTGGGAAAGGAACTTGAAGATCAAGAAGGTTGCTTCAAAGGAGTAGGTGTAGATTCAAGATCTACTTCTGTGGTGTTCATCTTGGAGGTAACAAGCTGCTATTTTTCCCTCCTTTACACCTAGATCTATGTGTTGTTGTTGCAGCTTTTAGTCATAATGTTATTCTTTCAAGTTAGAATCCAGATCTAAAGTTGCTACTTTAGATCTAAGCATATGATGGCCTTGAGAAGCACAAAGTATCAGCCCTTGAGTGGATCATGGAGCCTCTTTTCCTTAAACCCTAGTTCATGGTGCATTTTGCCTAGATCTCCTTCTCTACACGTAAAGCTTGCAACTTTACGTGAGGAATGGGCTTGGGAAGGGTAGATCTACAATTTGGAGTCCATCCATGACCCAAAAGCCCTCTGCATGTAAAGGGATTCGAATGGACTCGGCGAGTCCTTTGAGTGGACTCGGCGAGTAGCATGAAGGTGTGGAGCAACTCGACGAGTTGGATGAACAACTCGTCGAGTCAGATGAAGATTGCCTTGGACTTGGCGAGTCTGTTCTTTGACTCGGTGAGTCAGGTTGCAAAACCCCAAACCCTTCGAGTTGAGACTCGTATCAGTGAGTCAGGTGGAGACTCAGTGAGTTGGACAGATCAGAACTCAGAAATCGGTAGACTCGGCGATTCATGGACTGACTCAACGAGTCGAGACGCGAATGGAAGGAATCTGAACATTTTGAACTCGGCGAGTCAGTAGGGTGACTCAGTGAGTAGGGTTGACTTGGAAGGTTGACTTTGACCAGGGTTGACTTGGTTGTCTTTCGGGGGTCAGTTAGACTGAGTATTGCTTTGATATTGGTAGTTTGGGGAGCAAGGAGAGCAGGAGTTCAGTGAGTTGCCGGGCAGCAGCTACTAAGATCATCAGCAAGTTCAGCCAGTGCAGGTTAGTTTCTCTTTGTGTGAATGGGTCTAAGGCCACAATGTCGGCCCATGTAGTTATGTGTAGAAGACCTGGGGGTTAGCCGTAGGCATAGTATGCTAGTATGATATTCAGGACGAGGTCCAGTAATAGTGGGCGGGTCCCCAAGGATTGTTTATATGATAGATTATACTTGTTGTCTGTGTCATACATGTATATGCTTGGTAGGGAGGTGAGTGTGGGCGAGGTCCCGTATCTCACCAACAGCAGAGTGTGGATGGGGTTCCATATCTCATTAGTAGTCGAACATGGGCGAGGCCCAAACTAGAGCAAAAGTGAGAGTGGGTTGGGCCCGTATCTCACTACCATTAGGAGCGTGGATGGGGTTCCATGACTCATCAGTAGCAGGACAAGGGCGAGGCCCAGGATAGGCGAGGCCTTAGGACAGAACCAGTTGCATGTGTTTAGTTATATCTTATGTGTTATTATTTGATGGCGGGCTAGGCCCTGTGACAGGCGAGGCCTAAGTAAAACGGATCTGTATCCGAGCGGGGCTCGAAGCCAGGCGGGGCTTGGAGCGGCAGGGCCGTTGTAGCGGGCGAGGCCCGAGGTAGGGGTGAGGCCCAAGATAGCGGGTGTGGCCCAGTATGTGCAGTATGTGGTTATGCATGGTATGTGGTAGGGTGGGGAACTCACTAAGCATCATGCTTACAGTTTTCAGTTTTGGTTTCAGGTACTTCAGGTAGTGGAGGGAAGAGCTCGGGGTGATCGCATGGCACACACCATACATTAGACAACCTGGGAATGTTTACTCTGATAATGAACATGTGTTTTGAAAACTTATACTCATATTATGTTTTGGAATGATGACTTTGCTTAAGTAATGTTTTATTAAAAGAAATTTTTGGTCTTAAATTTTGGGTCGTTACGAGTTGGTATCATTAGCCTTGGTTTGAGGGATTCGGACATGCCCTCGGGTGTGTCTGAACCTAAACCGACGAATTGGTATGGGAGTTTTCAAAACGAAAAGACAATTATGTAAAAAGAGAGTTTTGAGAAAGAAACAGTTTTAGAAAAGTAAAAAGAATTTAGAAAGAAAAGAACTTTGAAAAGAGAAAAGAGGTGTGGTGCATGCAATCAACCGAGCTCAAGTAACTACCCCAAAATACCCATACAAGTCTATGTTTTGATTACCAAATTAATAGAACAGCATGCTAGATTAGGACTGAGGATCTAGGGATGATGCCTTATGTGCCTATTATATGTGCTTTTGATCTGCATCATAGTGCGGAATAGATAGTAGTAGGATAGCCTGTTTAGGTTATGCCTGAGT